AATTTTTTGTTTGTTTTTAGATTGTCAAGTGATTAATATGTTTATGTGCAGAGTTGAATGGGATCTGACCTGGAGTTTATGGTAGAAAAGAAGATGCAAAATGAAGGCAGAGAGGCCAAGGTTTTATCCTGGTTCTGGTTACCCATTAGACATCTACAGAGTCATATGGATACTTGGTGATTTTTAGCAGAATGGGTCTCTAAGTACCTGACATCTATATTTGAAACTGTTACTATGACAGAAGTGAGTCTTGTGATTCTTCAATCAGAAGAAAATAGCTCAGGGAAACCATGCTTTATCATATCAACATCCACATGAAATCTACAAAACTGGGGGTTCTATCAATGTACTAAACTAATAAGACCATTGTCCTTAACCACAATTTTTCAGGAATTCCAAGGATATTATAATGTATTGCTCCCTTACACCAGAGAGAACTTTCTTCCTATGTCTCCAAGGGCAGTGAGATTTTCGGGTAACTTTTCTTTTGGGGGAGAAACCAGACATAAAGCATTAGTCTTATATCCTGTCCTTAAATAAAAAGAAAATGTTTACTAAGAACTTATAATGGTGAGTGCACTGTTACTTATACTGTGTGTAAGAACAAAACACTTCTATAAGTCTGTTTATTAATGTGGTCTCCCCAAAGATCCTATTCTTCATCGACTCAGTGTGGCTCTCTAGGAAGCCTCATGCTTAACAATCCGAAGTTATGAATATCTAGAGGAAGGAGTCCATTTGTACGACTTTTGTTCTAGGCCTTAACAAATATGTCCATTTTTCTTTTCTGCTTGCTTTCCTTTTCTTTCATTTCATTTCACTTTTTTACTGTTGCTGCTTTGAGTTAGAGTCTCATTATGTAGCACATGCTAGCTTCAAACTTTGTAGGTAACCTGTTCTGGACTAAAATTTGTAGCTACCATGCCTCTGACTCCAGAGTTCTACAATAGCAGTCTTGAACCACGGGGCTCAGCCATCCATTTTCTTTGTGAGGCTCAGTTTTGTAGTTTTCCATCCTCCTTTGATGCTTCCCTTTTGACAATGAGTCCAAGTATGCACTAAATTTGCCTCTCTAATTTCATCAAGCTAAGAATGTTGGTTAGAGCTTTTGCAAGGAAAACATCTGAGAGTAAATCTGAAGTCAGCATTGCCTGAAGTGTTGTTCTGGGAAAATGGAGAGCTAGGAACAACAAGGTCTGGGTTTTTACTTCTCAAATTTTAGTGTGCAAGAAAATCACCCAAAGAGCTGGGAAGGAGCAGTTAAGAACATGGCTGCCCTTGCAGAGGACCCTGGTTCAGTTGGCAGGTCACAACTGCCTGCAACTCCAGTTCCAAGGGATCTGATACCCTCTCTGGCTTCCTTACTAAGCCAGAATATGGTATACATACATACATGCATGGAAATCACCCATAAAGTAAGTCTTAAAAAATGTTAAAAGACAATCACCCAGGGAATGAAGTTAAATCTAGTTTGTGAAAGCTAGTCTCTTCTGGTACAGCCCGTCAGGCTGAGACTTAGTAACACAAAACTGACATGGTTAGAATGAATACACATGCTCTGTAACCTGGCTTTAACACCAATGCCTCTACCATTTGCTAAAATGTCCCTTTACTTTTTTAGACTAAACTCACTTTCATTCTTCTAGTGACACAGAACAGCTTCTGTGAAAGATCTAAGGATGAACTTTATCTTCTACTCTGTGAAGATGGCAAACACAGAATTTCTGTGGGCTTTCAAGAGACTCGAGAGTATCTTTGTGACCAGTGCACTTACACTAGACTTGGATGCTTCCTGAAGTCTCCTCTTGTGTCTTTATTTCCTGAAAGCTGGCACCCACAGTTTGGTTGAAGCAAAACACTTCTTTTGTTCCTCAAACACATTGGTGACTGAAGTCTAAAGGTTTAAAGCTAAGCTGCCTGCTTCCTACATGCAGACTGCTAAGGATGATCAAATCTCTCCATGTACATCATGAAACCAAACAGTCCAAGCACTAAAAGCTTCCCATTTCCTTACATCAGTGCTGAAATTTGGTCCCCTGTAGGATAATGTTAATTTCCAGGCAGTGTAGTTGGTTAACTAAGAGAAAATAAAACTTTAGACAATGTGTTATTTATAGCCAATGCAACACATCATTATTATCAATTCTTATTACAAAATACACAGAAAAAATATCCTTTTGTTATTTAAATATGGCTTGGCTACATTGAGAAATAGTACAGATGTTAATCCACAGCCTTCCAGCTGCATCCTGGGTAATCATTATTATGATTTATTCCTATTTGGAATTACTGGTAATAGACTGTATATTTTTGTGTGAAATTCAAATCAGGGAGCACCGATGAATTGAGATGATTGATATTATATATACACACACATAATTTTGGAATTGGGGACAACAATAGAAATATTTCTCCCTTAGAGAAAAATGTACCACACTTGCTGCTGTCTCTGTGATCTTGTTAAAAAATGCTTTTTATCAAAATATATGTGCCGAACATTTACTAAATTATCTATAGTTAGAATGAGCTGACCCTTGACAAGTAATCTAAATTTGTTTTGAAAATATCTGTGCAATTGTTGAAAATGTGGGGCATTAATATCTGGATCCTGAAATATATGGCTTTAATGCACAACCATTTAAAACTTCACTAATGTATGCTTTTATTCTGTGCTTCTGTTTTCTTTCATAACTCCTATATTCTTTGCTTAAATTTCTCATTGATGAGTTTTTACATACAGAATCAGGAGAAAGGAAAGTGGGAGCACAATGATATATAATATTGTTGACAATGCACATTTTCTAAGTATACATATGTGTTTGTGAGCAAATATTCATCTTTCCCATTAATAGTCAGTCTAAGATGATTGACGTAGTTCAGTGTCATTATTTTATAGCAACTTATTGCACAGTGAGACTGGTGGTTTCCAAGTGGTCCTAAACTTAGGAACTGAAAGAGGCATTGAATTATAGTTCATGGTCTTCTTGAAACCTCATTCTGCATCTTCTTACATCAAAGGCATATGTGGTCCTTACATCTCTGGAATAAAATATAATTCTACTCAGTGATCTTGTCCCCCTTATTTTCTTTATGTCTCAACCTTAACAGGAAGCATTAATTTTTGATGTCTGAACTAAAAATAAATGATCTTGCCAGACTTCACTTAATCCCCAAATCATCTTGATTTATATTCCTCTGTCCCAATTCACCTGAATGAGTTCTGTATGGAATTATCACCCATGAGTAAAAACTGTTGACATAGGTTTTCCAGACCAGAAATTACACTTCTTAACACTTTAAGATAATCATGCCTGAAAGTGGAATGAACTCTTGATAGCAGGGTGGTGATATTTATCGTGTCACCATATAGCCAGTAGTGTTTCTGTCTCCCTCTTTGTCAGGCAATGCCAACATAGGCTGATGAAATATTTGTTAAACAATAAATAAATAAATAACTAAGACATATTCTTATGGACAACTGTACTTACCACCACATGGGGAGTCAAAATGTAAGTCATAGTTAGGGTTTCTGTTACTGTGAGGAAACGCCATGCCCAGAAAGCAAGTTGGGGAGGAAAGGGTTTATTTGGCTTACACTTCCACATTGCTGTTCATCACCAAAGGAAGTCAGGAAGGTTATGCAAACAGGGCAAGATCCTGGAGGCAGGAGCTGATGTAGAGGCTATGGAGGGGTGCTGCTTACTGGCTTGCTTCCCTTGACTTGCTCAGCCTGCTTTCTTATAGAACCCAGGACCACACAAACCCAGGGATGGCACCACCCACGATGGGCTGAGCCCTCTCATTGATCAACAATTGAGAAAATGCCTTACAACTGGATCTCATGGAGGCATTTCCTCAACTTTCTTTCTCTCTGAAGACTCTATCTTGTATCAAGTTGACTCACAAAACCAGTCATCAATCTCTTAAGAAACTATGATTCACAGAAAGGTAAAGAAAAGCTTCAATGCCTTGATAGAAAAAGATAGGCATCTTATAGGAAAATCATCTTTAACAGTATATGGTTGTAAAAAAGATAAAGGTCTAAAAACCTGGCAGAAAGGATAGAATTTGGACATGTTTTTGAAAAATGGAAATTCTATGAATTTTCCATGGACATACATAATGATGTGTAATTTGACCAATGTTTGTACATGTATACTCTGCATACTCTGCACAGGTATGCAGCTTATTCTAAGGGCTTTGTTACTATTCCATGACAAAATGACTGTCACACATCTAGTCTTTCTTCTTCAATAACAAGATTTGGAAATGCATAGCGGTTTGCCTTTGCTGTTACCAAGCACATGATCAGCTTGCTATAGATCATTTTAGGAATCAGAAATACAAATTTATTCTTTATTTGCCTGCACTATAATTTTAAGTAGGCTTCGTGTGTGTGTGTGTGTGTGTGTGTGTGTGTGTGTGTGTGTGGGTGTGTGTGTGGGTGTGTGTGTGGGTGTGTGTGTGTGTGTGTGTGTGTATGTGTGTTTGTGTGTGTGTGTGTGTGTTCAATAAAGATTTAAGTAGGCTTGTATGTCTTCAATATAGAGCCATTCCTTATTATTAATATATTTTATTTTCTTAATAATGTCGTTATTGTTTCCAATTACAGCCTTTAATTACAAAGGGAGAAATTGTTAAGTTTGTGACATTGGATAGCCTTCCAAAATGACAGCAGCACAAAAGGGATGTAGGAAGCACAATGTGAACAAAATAGAAGACAGGGCCAAAGCAGATGAAACAATAAAGCATAGACAGTTGTAGAGGAGATGCCAGGCAGCTTGTGTCTGGAAGCTGTTAGTGAAAAAAAAAAAATGATCAGCATGTGACAGGGAAGCCCTGTTTTAGCTTCATTAATACCGGTAGGAGGTTATGGTTCAATGGGAAATTTCATCCTGAAAGTGAAATAGAATCTTGGGCATCACTGGTTTTTGTTTGTTATTTTTTTTTCATTGTGGTATTGATCCTGAACATTGCTCCAGTTAGAAAGATGGTCTTCAATGCGGACCCTTTCTCTTCTTCTTTCAGATGATTACACCCTGCATGGCCCAGTTTTTGTTCAAGAACCAAGTCATATAATGTTTCCTTTGGATTCCGAGGAGAAGAAAGTGAAACTCAGTTGTGAAGTTAAAGGGAATCCAAAACCTCACATCAGGTTTGTTGATTTAAGAGTCTGTCTTCAGCCTGTGAACTCAAGGCCAGTCTGGTCTATATAGTGAGTTTCAGGCCACCCAGGACTATATAGTGAGATCCTGGTCCCCAAAAAACAATGTTTTTCGTGCATATAGTTTGTATTATTGAAATTATAGCAACTACTCAAAGATTACTGAAGAGGAAAGAGTTTTTAGACAGACATTATAAGGTACTCTGAGATACATGAAGAAAAGATTCTTTCATAAAAAAAAAAGAGTGCCGAACATTTTTCTGACAGGATTAAGGATTGAATACCCTGAATGACCTTCCCTTTGAAAACTAACAATTCCAAAGAACATAGATTTAATAAAAATACATTTTTTAAAATTTTTTCAGTAAGCTAGTATGAAAATAGGAAGTGCATGTGTCGAAGAATAAATGGATTTACAACCATCAGTATTTGCCACTTTGACAAATACGATCTTAAACTATTTTATGCAACCTCACCAGGACCAGAGTTGTAAGACAAAGCCTAGACTTCCAGGAGTCTGTAACAAGTGAGCATTTTCCCGAAATGAGCCAGAGAGATACAAGGATTCCACATTTAGAATGAATGTTAACACTAAGTATTAGATTCCTGCTCCCAAAACAATAAAGTATTGGGAATCATTTCTTTTAGACCTTGAGTCTCAGTAGTTTTCAAATGAAATGTAATGAGTCTATAAAAAGAATTGTTAAAGTGGATAACAGACATGCAGAGATCAACCCAAGGCATCAGAAAGAGGTGAAGAGGAGCCCAATGTGGAGGGGAGGTGGAGGCCTGGAAGGAGGAGGAGGAACTTGATCTGAGTCAGCCATCTTGAGTTCCAGAATGAAAGGCAGAAAAGAAAAAGGCAGAAACAACTGTTAGAAGGGTCAGAATTTGCAACAATAATTAAAACTGTCTACTGTTCACTGCAGCTTTATCAGTACCAAAAAAAAAACAAAAACAAAACAAAAATAAACCAGTAAAATACAGAATCTACTGAGGTACACATCAACAGATAAAAGGGTGAAGAAAATGTTATTCATACATAATGAAAGATTATTCAGTCACAAAAAGAATGAAACCTGTCCTGTCATTCTCACACTGTGGGTGGTACTGCAGGACATTACATTAAATGAAATAAGCCAGACATAGAATGATACTTCATGTTCTTACCTCTATGTCGAAGCTAAAGTATTGATCTTATAGAAATTCGTGAGTGGTTGCCAGAGAACATGAAGGAAGAAGGGGCAGAGAATAGAGAGAGGTTGGGAAACATGAAAGAAAATACAGAAAGGTGGGCTAGCTTGTAACTTTCTACATTAAAGATGGATTATGACAATTTATCACGTATCTGACAATGACTAGAAGATTGGGAATGTACTTGTGATGGTATAATTGCATGGCATGGATGAGGCCCTAGATTCAACATACAGTACTTAGGATAATAAAATAAGCAATAATAATAAAACAATTTCTTCCCTTCCTTTCTTCTTATCTGGGATGTAGTTCATTTGCTGGAGTGGTTATCCAGTGTGTATGAAGCCCTGAATTTGACACCCAGAAGCAGAGACAGGGTGGTGCACAACTGTAAGGCCACAATTTGCAAGCCACTACAGAGGAAAAATAAAAAAAAGTTCAAGATTGCCTCCAAATATCTAAGCAGTTTGTGGTCAGCTTGGGGTACATGAGGACCTGTCTCAAAAATATTTAAATTAGTGTAATGACAATTTTTAAATTAAAAATAGTTTTAATAAGAATAAATAAATAAATAAAATACTCATTTTAACATTCTAAACATGAACGGCAGAGTACACTAATTCGATATTGTATCTTGCACATATGACAAATTTTCAAATTATTCCCTATAAATATGTGTAAATTTTATGTGTTAATTAGAAATTCCTATAAAGGAGAAGAGAATATGCATTTCTGTAGGCAGACAAACATTTTATTTTGATGGCTACTCACTCTCACTTAAGAAAATTCTAAAAGACATCTTTGAGATGGGATAAAAATTAACCCAGAGAGAAGACTTGAACTACAAGAAGACAGAATTAAACAAAGCAATGTGAGGGTAATTCCACATAAAATTGATTGCAGTAACCCTGATAATAAAGAGAATACTTTCTTGTGAAAATCAAAAGAAGAAAAGTTAAAATTCATGACAGTAATGGAAGTACTTTGAAAACTCTTGCCCTGGACAGTGGATTGCACATGTGGTTAAAGAAAGAAAGAAAACTGAATCACTGTTTCATGTTACACACAAAAATCAACTTCAGGTTAATAAAAGCCCTAAATGGGACATTTTAAAAGAAGAAAGAAAACAGGCATGGATATTTATGACCTTGATGGAGGAAAGACTTTTCAGTATGAAGGGAGAAATACAAATCATTTTTTAAAAAGTTTAACTTCTTTAATAGTAAATATTGTGTTTGATGGAAGATACTGAGCTGAGCAAAACCATAGGCTAAAGTCCGAGGATGATGCGTTTAGTAAAAATTTTCCTTGGTAAAGAATTGATATTAAGGGCCAGGTGTTAGTGGTGCACGCCTTTAATCCTAGCACTCGGGAGGCAGAGGCAGACGGATCTCTGTGAGTTCAAGGCCAGCCTGGTCTCCAGAGTGAGTGCCAGGATAGGCTCCAAAGCTACACAGAGAAACCCTGTTTCGAAAAACCAAAAAAAAAAAAAAAATTGATATTAAGAATAGGTCAAGAATTGCCCAAAATCAAAATGTAAGAAACAAGTAACCAAATAGAAAGCAATATTTGATTAGCTATTTTTCTAGTTGCTATGGTAAAACACCCTGACCGAAGCAACACAGGGGAGAAAGGGTTTATTTTGGTTGCCAGTTCAAGGGTATGGTCCACCACAATGGGAAATCACAGTACCAGGAGCTTGAAGCAACTAGTTAAATCACAGCAAAGGCAAAGGGCAATGGATGCTTGTGTTCATCATTCCACTCTGGCTTCGGAAAGGTGTTTGCCACAGGGCAATCTCATCACCTGCTTCTTAGAAATTGAATGAAGGTCAGAGGGACCTCTTAGTTCTGTTAATTTTCATAAGCTTTTAGCCCACATAGGCCAGATTAGCATTAGGTGGGGTGATACATTCATAATTACCCATGACAAATAATCACTTAAAACATGATGAGAATGAAACTAAAGATTGTACATGGATAAAGGTTATGCTTCCAACCATAGCGATCACAGGAATCCTCAGTAGTAAATACTATTCACTTTATCAAACACAGGTCTTCATTATCTCATGATCCCTTTCAAAATACATTTTATGTAACTTATTTTAACTATACTCAAATGTAATGCTAATAAAGTTACTGCAAGAGTAAATAAAATACATTTATACTAACCTTCCAGGCTCAGGGAATACTGGGGAACAGGGTACAGAGAAAACATTAGAGTTGGGGAATGGAAATGAGTGATGGAAAGGGCGAGCATCCTGACATGGCATGGCTGGGGCACCCATGAAGCTGCCAGCTTTCGAGGGAATTAAAAAACAACAACAACAACAACAAAAAAAAAAAAAACTAGAAGTAGTGGGTAGATGTAGTGAAGACTTCAAAAAAAAGGGGATGTTGCAGGTCCTTGAGAAAGGCCAACTGCTTTGCCACATGGATAAAGAAAGGATGAACATTCCAGAAAGAAGACAACAACTAATTAAAGTGAGCATGCCAGGTATCCTCTGACACAGGACATGTTGAAAGAGAAAGAACAGTATCAAGAATTACTCTAGAGCATCACCTATAAACCCTAACCTGTCCTGACCGAGCCAGAAGGCGTCATCTTTCTGGGTATAATACAGTAAATTCAAGGCTAAGTTAATGATTTGAAAACACACTGCAAAGTAAAAACAAATGCAAGGCACAAAGTTGCTCAGATACATAAATGACGAGTTAATGGATCCCTCTTTGAACACACAGCCAAGGGTAAGTTCAGATGTTAGCTATAAATGAAAACAAATTCTGCAGCAGTTTTTGGCAAGCTGCTGCATTGTTTTCCCCCAAACTGTGACCTTTAATTAACATTGCCTTTGTAACATTGTGTTTCTAGATATAGGGGCTTGCCTTGTTATTTAAAACAAGCCATAGAACAGAAACCTATTATGTTTTTAAAGATTGCAGGGAAAGCTGAGGAGAGCTTTTAATCAAATGCATTAGCCATTCCAGGCAGTGCACTGGTGCTTGCCTTAATCCCCCTGGCAGTTTTCTTGTGACATAATAGCAGTCTGGACCCAGGAGCTTAAAAACTCCCTGTTGCTGAATGAAAGAGCAAGAGAATGAATAGAGAGATCAGGTGTTTTCGAACACCTTGCTAGCTGAACTTTCTTAGTCTTGGTGTTGACTTTCAGGGGGTTGAACAAGTAGGAAAATTTCCAAAGTGAGTGCTCCACGGGGATCTTCAGCGGCAGGTTTTTCCTAAGACATCCTAACTGACCTCTTTTCTTTACGTTTATTCCCTCAACTGAGCCTTTTCTTTTCATTGTTTCTGCCCATCAGTTCTGAAAGGATTGACCCCGACCCAGAAAATTTAAGAAGTTTTGCCTCATGCCAACTTCTCTTGTATTCAAGTTCCCTAAGGACAGGTGACATTACTTATTTCACCCAGCACCCCTTCCTAGAAGGAAGAGGCTTTCAAGCACCCTGTTAGAGTTGGTTTGCTGTGAAGTTTGTATTCAACTGAGTCTGAAGAGAGCCAATTCCAAGTCAGAAAGGACCTGCCCCTCCCTGAGTGTCAAGTTCAAACAGTTAACAGTGAAGGTTTCTCTGCACTGAATCTGTACAGACTCTGTGGAAACATGCCTTGGGGAGGTTCAAGGTGGCCGTATTTGCCTGTGTACAGCCCTGCTCTCTGAAGAGAATTCAGCTGTGCTTCCCCCAAGTAATTGAGAAGTCAGCTTACAAGACACCAATTTGCCTTGCCCCCTGGGAAAATCTATTTACTCCAAATGAGCCTTGCCTCTCCATTACCAATACTTAAAAGATTCCTCAAACACTGAAACTAAATTGCGAGATTTTCAAGAGCTTTTCACTATGCAACGAGATGAGAAATTCTCAATGCAATCCATAGTCAATAGGAATGAACACTGACTGCATTGCAGTAAAACACCATGTCTGCTTTATCGCATGTCTCATAAAGCACTTTATTTTCTAAATAATCCCATCCCTGTTGCTGTTCGTATGTAAAGGCAGGCCATAAAGTAGATGAACGGACTTTGTGCACGGCATTTTTGGTTGAGGTGACGAGTGCCGACGAACCTACAGAGGTGTCATTATTCCCATAGCCAGTCTTCTAAAAAGACTCACATGGTCCCATTCCCAAATTCCACACTCTGCTTGCAGCTCACACTATATTGCAATTTCCTCTTTGAGTTCTTAGATTTGTCATATTAAATTGCTCTGCTATCATTTGAAGTGAGAGTTATGGCCAAGACGTGATCAGCTGACTAACAGTAAATGTGTAGGGCAGGCAGTCAGTTCTAGAGATTCATGTGCAGCTAGCACCGCTGGGCTGTAACGTGGCTGTTCTCTTTATTGCTTATTACTTTCTTGTCTGTGTCAGAGCACAGAGAGAATTACTGCAGAGCCCCTAAAACACTGTCAGTTTCTAATATCCAGCTTCTTATAAACAAAAACATAAAAAGCTAAGTCCTATTTGTGCTTCTAGTCTACTTCCCTGGCCCTCCTGTTTCTAGATTTTTACACTGCAAAGACACAGATGGGAGTAAACTCATATGACGGTGCTGGGTGAGGCAAGCATGGTTCATGAATTGTGTATATGCTCACAGCTCAAATATATACCAGAAAGACACAATTCTGAATCCATTCAATTCAACAAGTGTTTATTGCGCACAGTTAGACAGTTAAGTTCTAGATGGATGAGAGCAAGAATGCGGAAGTGGTTGAGGTAAATTGTCTTGTGGCAAAAGCAGTCTTTGCATGAAGGAATAAGAGAACTTCCACCGGACATCTAATGAAACATGGTACATCTTGACTGGAAATATGGGCAGGAATTTCATTGGAAGATGTGTGCCTCCCCCTTCTGCTCTTTTTTTTTTTTTTTTTAAGATGGTCTCTATATTTAACCATGGGCCTGAAGCTCGCTATGTAGACCAGGCTGGTTTGTAATTCACATGGGTCTGCCTGCCTCTACCTCCCCACTGCTGAATTTAAAACAAAGAGCACCACCAGCATACATGTCCTCTGAGATTGACTTTGGTGTTCCATGTACTGACTCAAGTCTGTAGTCCCAACACTTGGGAGATGAAGGAAGAAGAATCAGGAGTTTGGGGTTATTTCAATTCCAAGGGAGTTTGAGGCCAGCCTGAGTGGCATGAGACCATGTCTCTAAAAGACACACACACACACACACACACACACACACAAACACACACACATGCAGGCATGCACACGACCCACCTATGTGTGTGTAATTTGAAGCTAACAGACTAACAATTTTATCATTTAAATTCTAGCACATTATACATTCATAACTACAATGCCTGGGATATTATAAAGGATTGCCCAATGGGTGGGCATACACATGCGCATTTCTATTTAGGTAATGGCTCTTGTTATTTTAAGAAAGTAAGATGAATAATTCTCAATTTCTACTCCCTTTTTTGATTTGAATCAATTTCCTTTGTGCTATAATCTTCTGTATGTTTTCAGCTCCTGTGAGAGTCTTGGTAATTCACAAGCTATCAGAAAACAGTCATTGAATTATATTAGTTCAAAAGTTTATATGAATTCCCATGAATCCTGAAAGATAATTTGACTCAGATAAGCTCTCATTCTTTGGATGTTAGTGACTCCGAGAACAAAATTGTAGATATTCATACCAAAGCTTACCTGCTGAAATATAAGTCCCCAGAAAACTAATTTACTGGGCTTGCTGCTACAGTCAGATGCACAGGTGACCCCAGTAAATGAACAGAAGGACAAGAAAACATTCTTTGCTTTGGTTATTTAATAGTCTGTAGTTTACTGGGGCAGTTGACTGGCAGTGACTAAAGAGATCATCCAGTTGATCCATGGTCAGGCAGATTTGGTCCCTAAAGCATCTCAGATCAACAGAGTTCCTTTGCATTGCAGCACTTCAGGCATGTTAAGAACTCAGCAGAAATTTCAACAGCTCTTTTGCTGTCTCCCTGAAAGTGGAATGTTCTGTCCTCTTGACATACCTATTTAAACTAGGATGCCAAACAGAAAAAGGACGTTTTATTGAGGAGTCCTTTTTTGAAGAAAGATGTAGTAAACCATGTGGAAAATTTTATCCCCTGTAAGAAATAATTATTTAGAGTATCCTACGTAGTCATGGGACATGTGCTAAAGTTTGATTTAGCACAAAGGACGGCTCTCTTTCTCCCTAAGTACTTAAGATGTCACCATTGCTGGCTAGTTTTTAATATTTGTATTTACCATGCTTCAAAACGTTCACAGATGATATTTTATGGTCTTCATAGTTTTTATCTATTTTAGACAATTCAAAAATATTGATTTATATTACAAGGCTTTATCTACTGGCATTTTTATACTATAGGTGGAAGTTAAATGGAACAGATGTTGACATTGGTATGGATTTCCGCTACAGTGTTGTTGAAGGCAGCTTGTTGATCAATAACCCCAATAAAACCCAAGATGCTGGAACGTACCAGTGCATAGCAACAAACTCGTTTGGAACAATTGTAAGCAGAGAAGCAAAGCTTCAGTTTGCTTGTAAGTAGCAATTATATTGCACCCCAAATGTATCTTTGAGATTTTGTACATTGTGTGAATACACTTTACAAACAGTACCTCCTGAAAGACCTCATGTATTTGAGTGTGGCAATGAACATTTTACCTTTTATTCATATTTTGAAAATATTTTACATGACTAATGAACTATAAACATGAGAGGGAAGCTGTATGTTTTATAAGTCTTGAGATAGTGTGGCTATGTAATCATTCAGTTATATGACCATTTGGTTATATGATGCTTTAAACAGACATAAGTTTACACATGTTACAGGTTACACATAATAAATGCATGCATACAACACCTACAAACATTGAACAGAGCATATGTGAATAGGTAATTGAACTATCAGCAACCTCGTAGTCCATAAAGAAGTATTTTAACCATTCGTAGTAGAGGCATAGCTTGGTTGGTTGTCAATTCACCAGTAAAGCCTACAATTCTCTGGGCTTTCTTCCATACAGTAAAAAAAATGTTTTAAAGTCCAATAATGAAAAGTAGGGGTACAGTATTATTCACCTTATATGTTTATATACCAAACCAGAACACTGAGAAACAAGTTGCCATATCTTAAGACTGCTACTTAAAGAAAATCTTTGCATGTGTGAAGGGAAGTAGGTTTTAGAAATAAAGAGTCGAAAATCACAATCCAGGGGCAGAAGCTGTAAGCACACATTCTATTGTAGACACCTTGAGAATTGCTGTTCAGCTACAATCTTAAAGGTGTATGTATTTGCATATTATTATATATTCCCTTGTATAAAATCTCAACTTGTATAGCAGTATGTTAATATCAAAGTTTTCATAATTACTAAGTCTGTTGGTTGTATCACTGTAGAATATTCTCATTAACAAAACCCTCTCTGGGAACAGAATATCAAATATACCTATTATAATATTCAGCACTTAATCTTTTATTGCTGTTTGATGGCATTTTTTACTCATTGAGAAATGAATTTTCTAGAAATTTTATGGATATAGAATTCTGGAGCTCCATGTTTGTATATGTCTCCTGAGATAGTCTTCAATTTTCTTAGGTAAGCAGAATAATAGGAGGGTAATACATCTGATTAAGGGCCACAGAACCAAAGTGCATATTCCTCTGGTTTAATCAAGCTGGTATCTATACTCACATTTTAGTAATTACAGATGAGTCTCATTAGGTTTATCCAACAAAATAATGATACAATGGTAGGTGTTCAACATAGGGGGAAATTTCATGGTTCAATAAATTGCAACTCTGTGACCCTGATTTTTTGGGGGGTTTTGTAGCAAGCGTTTAACAACAAAAAGGGAGAAGGATACTATTACCAGCAAATTGACTTTCTAATAAACATTTAAAAAATACTTTTCTACCAGCCCTCAAGAGTATGCTTTTATAAAAGTACAGGCCTTTTTATTATATAACACATTAAGAAGACAGGATTTTATATTCAAAGATAGTTATTTAACTAGAATAGAACAGAATAGTTCTCCCCAAGAAGCTCCTTGTTTCACTTTTTGAAGCATTTTCACATTAATGTATGTGAAACCCACCTTGTTCATTCTATATCAATAGTGACATACGTACCCATCAGAATCGTTGTTGACAATCATTCATTTCATTTCATGCCTATGGATGTTTTGTCTGCATGTGTATCAGTATACTGTATGCATACAATTCCCTCAGAAGCCAGAAGACAGTATTGGATCTGTTGGAACTGATATAATGTATAAACTGTCATGTAGGTTCTGGGAATGGTCCCTGGGTCTTCTGGAAGAGCAGGCAGTGTTCTTAACTGCTGAGTCATCTCTCCAGCCCCTTTCCAGTTCTTACTGCATGAAACTAGTTAGTCTGGAAACCATATCTTATCCCATAATTTATCTTTCCTTTGAGTATTTAATGGGCAATTATCTTCTGGACAACAGACTCTTGTGTAAATTCATTTATGAAGTTATGGCCCTATAGATAGGTCTACAAGTCTTTACATGTGCTGTGACCTTTGCAAAGGACACTAGAAGCCAATGTAGCCATGCTATGAACTTCCACTACAGCAAATATAGTGGTCATACTGTTCATTTTCAAAAAGTGCTAGTCTCCTAGTATAACTTTATTGCTAGTTTACAGCTTATCTAATATTTCATGTTATTAAACTAAATTCAGAATATAGTATTTTCCTCGATTATATGTCCCTTTCTCAGGAGTAATCCTTTGTTCTATCTCATTTGAAATTGTTTTGAATATATTTCTTTTTACCTCTCCTTCCAAAATTCCTTCCTTGCAGGTGGGAGTAGCTTTCACCCAATCCAAACCTATGTGTTTCCTGGTATGGAAAATGCTGCTGGACATGTTAATCTCTCTCTCCCAATCTACTAGGACTGAATGTTAGAGATGAGCTCAGACCACTGGCTCAAAACCCCTATGTGTGATAGAAGTGTTTAGGTAGCTTTCCTTAAGTTAGTATGGTGATTGATACGTGAACTCTCAGTACTTAGGAAGCCAAGGCAGGAGAAGAAGGCCATGACTTCAGGGCCACCTTTTGCTACATAGTGAGTTATTGGCGATTATAAGACATGGAGTAAAATTTTGTCTCATAAGAACAAAAAATATGGTCAGGGTGCAGCCCAGTTGGCAGAGTGCTTGCCAGCATGTGTGAGGTCCTGGTTATGATTCCACATAAAGTTAGATATATTTTTAATTATCTTAAATATTGATTGTCCTCCTAACTCAGGATCATCAGAAAATGTCATGGCTATGTCTCCACCAGTATAACTGGTATGTGTTGACCATGGTATCACGTGTGTGTCATGGAGTACTTCACTAAGATGAGGTCAGGTCAAACCATTAGGTTAGTGTTCTCTGCACATTCTTCTTGTTAGGCCAGCTGCAAATTTAGCCAATTATTCTATATTGAACCCCAAATTCTATTTATCCTTAAGCAATGGGAATTTTCTTATAAAATGAAGATGTACTTACTGTCTCTTCAGTATTCACTCCTCTCTGGTTTCTCTACAACTTGGAGCCTTGCTTCAGCCGTTTATCATAAAAGAGTGAATAATCATTGAAAATGTAAAATAGATCATTCCACTTCCTTGCTTTATGCCTTCTGCTGCACTTTAAAAAATCAGCACATCTTATTTTAATTTCTCAAAAAAAATGAAACTACTCTTTTGATACCAGAGTCTTGATACTTTCATTAGCTTTGCCTGATACCCAGTACCCACTTCTTCCACTCCTTCAATTAGCTGACTTCTTAAACTCTTCCACTCTCAACTTCTGTGTCTGTGGTGGTTTGAATACGAATGGCCTTCATAGGTTAGGGTGCTTGAATGTTTGGTTCTTAGCTTGTGGACTGTTGAGGAAGAATTAGGAGGTGTAACCTTGTTGGAGGAGGTGTGTCTTGGGGGGTGCTGAGCTTTGAGGTTTCCAAATCTCATGCCAGTCCCAGTCCCTCTGCTTCCTGTTTGTGGAACAGACTGCCCAGCCTTTGTTACTGCTCTACTCCAGTGCCATGCCTGCCTGCCTGCTGTCATGTTTCCCACCATAATGGAATGGATTAACCCTCTGAAACTGTAAGCAATCCAACAGTTACTAGTTGCTTTGGTCATGGTGTCACTTCATGGCAACGGAGTATCAGAAACGACGCAGCCTAATAGATATTTTCCACAACTCCTTTTCTTACATAGCATCTCTTATTTTCTTCTGTCTGCCTTCCTCCAGTCCTCTACTTCAACATCCCATCATTTCTGTTCCTTTTATAGGATTTGATAAAACTTGGAATGACTGTATATTTTCCTGTTTGTTTTTGATTCTTCTCATATCATCTCCATTCTGAAAGACCTAAGATCACTGCCTCTGTCCTGCATTTGTAGAGTCTCTAGTAGGTTATTTGTTTGAAAGCACACATTTCTTTAACGCCCCCCTTAGTAATAAGTATGTTTCTAAAACTAAATTAGAAAAGATAAATTTTCACAACCACATCTTTTACATTCTGACCATGTTTTAATGCTGAAATTCCTCATTATCAAGCTACAACTTCAAGGAGATGTTTTCCTAGCTTTTTAATAAAGAAGATTAAAAAAAACTTGAAAGATGTTCCTGGTGTCAACACAAAAAACAAAGCTCTTATCTCCAAGGGAATAAAGTTTATTCTGGAGCCAAACCTGATTGACCATGGACAGAAAATCATAGCTCTTTGTATGTCATCCTATGTTCTGTGTTCCAACAAGGGAGCAGTTTCATGGAGTTTTAATAGTAATGCAATGAACAAAGTTAGAAATCAAGGCAATTTTCATTAGTGAAAACATCAGAAAGGGTATAACAAAAAATTGAGAAATCTCTCTTATAAGCCTAATGTGCTATGTGATGACATTCTTAGCTTTGGGATTGGTGGCAGCTAGTGGTCTGTTAAAGTTAATATATTACACAAGGTTTTTATTTATTAGTTATAGGATGTTAGTTCCTATATATATATGGGAAGGGATTGGCTATTCTGGGGACTAACGCTAGTACCAATAAGATAATTAGGTTCTGGACCTACAACATTTCAACATTTTCACATCACTATAGCTAATCATTCTTGGTATATACAACCTCTTTTGAGGAATTCTCATTCACACTGGTATTCAACAATCGTTTTCAATTGGTTGAAGTGAAAGGTCATTCTGTATTTAATAAGTAAAATTTAAGTAAAGCATTATATTCTTTAAATATCTTTAAATTAGTTTTTCCTAGAGCCTTGTGTAATCCTTGAAGACTAATGTTACTTTTTGACTACACTTTTTGTCCTGTACCATATGAGTGAGCCTGTGCCCTCATCCTGAATCAAGTGGATTTTATGGCCAAGGGACTTTATATATTTCCTAGTTTTTATCCTTATAAAAGTGAAAGTGAAGATTGGAATGAATGAACTATTCATTTTTATTACATAGTTAATAGTTTCCAGAGCCAAGGAAGTCCAGCCCTTAGATCTTAGTTCTGAGCTAGCTTTTTTCTCCTTCA